TGCCTAGATTTGTGACCATTTTAATTACATCAATTATAAAGCCTGGGCATCAGGTCTAAATCTGACTTGGAAACAACTTTTACACATTGTGGTAAAGTTCCACAGAAATAGTTTTGGGGCATGTTTATTTTTCCGAGATGTATAGAATTTGATAATGCACATATTTTTCCCAATAAAGCAAGCCACAACCTTAAGTATGCAAGACCTGAGCATGACTTGCAAGTCACTAATTCACAGGCCAGTCATAAGTTGGAAGTGACTGGACAGCACATAACACATATTTTTCACTGACTAAAGGATGTTTGTGTACATATCTAAAACCTACACTTGTATGGATTACCGATATAATTCAAATGGACTTGTGGTTTTATGTGCATTTTTCTACTCTGAAATTGATCACAAGACTCACAAATGTAGATTCATTCAGACAAAAGGAATCCCAATCAGGAAATGGATATTTCCATAGTGAAATGTGAATCGAGTAAATTGCTTATATATAGAGAGAAACTGCGTATTTAAGAGATGTTGGGGTTTTAGTTAATATATATTTATGAAATTAGGATGCGATTTATTTATACTCACAGTTTCTAATAGTTCTTTACTATATTTTTTCCTATATTTATACTCCTTAATAATTTGCTGCCCTCAACATCCTTGGTTACCTCAGTGTTTGACTCTAATTCCAGATCATTTATAAATAAAATTTAAAAATACCAGTTCCAGTGCAGATATTTGTGAGACCGCAGTGCTTGAATGTCCAGCACGTGCCAATTATTCTCTTGACCATTCCAAAAAGCCATCTGAATGTTCTTGGTCTGTTGGGCCAGCTCTATACATGTTTGTTGGTACTCTCAACAGATTCAACAAACTATTTTTTCTACATATACAGTGGTGCCTTGCTTAACAATTACCTCGTTAAACGACGAATCCGCTTTAGGATGCTTTACAGGCATCGAAAATGGCCACCCTATGGAGGATCTTCACTGGACGCTGAGGTATTTAGCCCATTGGAATTCATTGAACCGGTTTTCAATGCATTTCAATGGGCTTTTTTATTTCGCTTGATGAGGATTTCGCTTAACAGCGATTTCAACAGAACAAATTATCCTCATCAAGCGAGGCACCACTGTATAATAAATTTATCTTTCACAATCCTTTTCAACAATTTACCTTGAACAGACTGTTTGGGAACAACAGCCGAAGAAGACTGACATCTTCCTGCCCCACTCTGTCTTTGGATAAACAGTTGATGGATTACAGTATGAACAGAATGCTGGACCAGCATTCTGATCCAGCTATTTTCTTTTTACATTATTTTAGAAGTTCCTAAGCTATATCATGATAGTAGATGATAGCGCATGATTGTTTCATGCAATATTTGTAGAAATCTTTATTCAATGATTCAATGATTCATTCATTCATAAATAAATAAATAAAGAAAATGTTATCACAGTAAAGGAAGACTATACCTGTAAGCAGAAAAGCCAACAATATTAAGAGCTATAAAATATCAATATGTCAGTGAGTTAGGTATCTGGCTGCAGAGTCAGAAGTTGGGAGTTCTATTCCCCACTGTGCTTTTGGAAAGAAAAGCTGGCTTGTGTCACCATGGGCGAGCTACACAGTCTCAAAACATCCCTAGAAGAGGGAATGCTAAACCACTTCTAATACTTCATACTAATACTTGGAGAAGATCACTATAATATGGAATCAACTTAGCACACAATTACCATTATTACAGAACACCAATATAATCAATCAATGGAAAATATACACGTTTATTCTTAACAGCATTCCTTTAGAGTGAAGGCAAGAACTTCACTCTGTTCTTCCATCAGGCAGCATACTGAATATATGAATCAAGACCACAAAATATATGCATATATATCAAGTCATGTGCCTTAACTAAAGAGGTATCCCATGTCCTTAAAGAAAACATGTAACCTCTGATTCACTAGGGGGAAAAATGCCAGAACCTGTTAAATATGGTTCTATTAATATTATGCACTCACCTGTCAAACATGCACCAACATATCAATACCTACTACAAAATTCTCTACTGATTTCATGAGGAACTAAAAGATCACATATAGGTGTCACATTGAGATCAATTTTGGTTGTGCCAAAGTAACAGCTTTTTTAAAAAAGGAAATTGTCCTTGAGGTCACTGGTCTCACTGGCACAAAAAGACAAAATAATGTTAAAAGAAATGCAGCTCAAGGCTGCTGTCAGTTTATATATGCATTGTTTTCCAAACACACTATAATGTATGAGTTCTCAACTAAAAGAGTACACTGACATGTTACACGTATGGAAAGTATCCAACATGTTTACTGTTTTTAATATAATGCTGAAATCGTTTAGCCCCACTATTTATTTTAAAGAAAAACATATCTGGTGTTACTTTTATTATCAAATGTTACAAAGTGTGTGGTGTCGTTTGCTATTAAGCCCTTTTTAAAAAGAAATTGAGACACTGGTGAATATTCTCCCTCTTTTGACAGATATGTTCCACTCTAAGAGGCCAAGTGTGCTTTCATTTTCAGCACTTCTCACCTTCTGAGATTTTAATTCCACCCTCTTCCCCAAAGAAAGGTGATTAGAGCTGAGTCAAGCCACCCACACTCTCATAGTGCTCAGCATAAAATGGTCGGGCGCTGTGCCTAAAGAAGACAATAGATTTGCACAGTAAACAGGGCTTGACTGAAGTCACCCATCCTTACCACAGCAGTAATAGAACATCTTGGATGCACTGGTGGGTTCTAGGTGTATAACCCATGTGCAGGAGCCTGTTTTGGTACATTAATTATCTTTAACAAGGGAGGGGATATATGTAAGCCTCACCTATTGGTAAACAAATAAGCACATTTCTCTTTAACAAATATGTTTCTAAGAACATATTTGAAATTGAGTGTTTGGCTCTCCCAATTTCCTTCATTTCTAAAACTTATGTGTCCTGTTTCATCAAATCATTGCTTTTTTATGAGCAGATAAATCTAAAATATATTTCATTATTTTTTTCACCTATGCTTTAAAGACAACTGAATTACTGGGTTTGACAGAGACTTAAGCTGCAATCCTATGAAAAATTACTTGGATGTAAACTGAACCAAGACTTCTGAATTAACATGCACAGAACAGCACAATAATTTAGCCATATACAGATCTTACTGAAATCAACGGAAAGTTCATCATAGATTAGAGGCACAGAATGGATAATCTACTCCACTTTTCTTCTAATACAGAAAATCCACTACGTACACTGCTACCAAGATGACATGGGATGCAATCCTGTACACACTTAATGATGGTGATGGTGAGGATAATTGCATGCTGTCATGTTGAATATGGCTTATGGTGACCCTTTCCATGATTTTCTAGGTACAGAGTGCTCAGAAGTAGTATATCATTCCCTTCTTCTGTGGACACCTTGGGACTGTGCAGCTTGCCTGTGGCTATATAGGCTGGCTCTTTACACAGGAGGCACAGTGCCGATTCAAACTCACAACCTCAGGCTCTGCAGGCAAAAAAAAAACCTAAACCTCTACTTGGCTTTAAGTACCACAGAACTCTGTGAAACACATATCTGATTAGATGGATATTAGATTGCACTGTTAGTCTGGATCTAACCCAACAGTTCTCCTAAACCTTCACATAGAATATATTAAAAACCCACCATCAAGGAAATTTCCAATCAACCTTCGCTTATATAATGATGCAAAATAACAGAAACTGCAAAATTACAAGACTGCCAATAGACTTACATACAGTGCTATCCCTTAAAAAGCCTGTTCAGCGGTAAGGCTTTTTCATTGAGACTTGCTTCTAAGCAAGCCTGCTCAGAATTAAAGCAAATGGTTCAACAGGGCTTGCAATTCCGAGCAGACATAAACAGGTCCCACCAAATGCAGCACAGCTCAGTTCTGAAGTACAGTAGCTGAACAGGATGAAAACCTGCAATTTCTAGGAACCAAAGACCACACGTTCCAATCACATCTTGGAGAGAGATACTGTAACAAGAAACTGCCACCTTCAAGGAAATAAAGTTTCTAGACGCCAGCCACTCCAGAATAAGTTGCAGTTTGCCCAGGAGAGGAGAGGAGAAACGTGAGGGCTGGGGTGGAAGGAGGCTTATAGCTACACTGTTTCACGAAGCTATCGAAATCTACCAATTAATAACGAAGGCGAGGAGGCACAATGTGACATCAGCACCCCAAGAAGCGTCACAAATCTTAGGAGGAACTCAGCTGGTAAAAGCCGTGGGGGCGGGGGAGGGATAAACAGAGGCATGACTAGCAGAAGATCCTGCATACTTCAACTTTGTGCCAAACGTTTTCTTGCGCACAGCGCGCATACACACACACACACACACACACACACACACAAACAGGCGCACAGAACGATGCTCTTTCTGCCCAGCCAAGCGGGGAGGAAGTGCCAACACTTTGTGCCAAACGTTTTCTTGCGCACAGCACACACACACACACAAACAGGCACACAGAACGATGCTCTTTCCGCCCAGCCAAGCGGGGAGGAAGTGCCAACTTGCTGCAGCGCAATGCAGAGCGAGGCGATTCTGTGCATCTCTCCACAGGACGGGCACCACGGGCTTGAGGAAAGGCAGAAGCAACCGAGCCGAAGCACGACCCGACAAACATCCGAGGTCTAGTTAGGCAGCACTCGCGCTTGGAGCGAGGCCGCGCAAAGCGCGCGCACAACGCTTCAGGGCCCCACACACACACACACACAAACACACACACCATCCCCAAAATCACTACTTGGAAATTCACAATTCCCTCCCCACAAAACGTAACCGTCCGAAAACCGAGCGCCGTCTTTCGACCCCGGACAGCTTTCCCCTCGCTCTCGGGCCCTCGTTGGCTCCTGGCGGGCTTAGGAACGGGCAAAGCGTTTGCCTCTTTCTTGCCTTAGAAGCAGCTTCCTCGCCACGAAGCGGCTCCGGCTCTTGTTTCTCGCAGCCCGCCAAAACCTGTCTTTACCTGTTGTCCGCCAGCGGCGATATCCCTTCGCGGCTCCTCTTTGCTGCTACTGCCTCGGCGGCTCGCGAGGCGCTCGGCTCTGGCCAACGTTGCGTGTGTTGTGTGTGTGTGTGTGTATACTGTATCTCGGCTCGGCGCGCGCGCCTGCTCTTCCCTTAGCGCGGGCGCGAGCAAAAGAAGGCGGGGGGAGAGCGAGAGAGCTGTGCCTCCTTTCTATCGCACCAGCCCGGAATCTCCCGCCTTCTCCGGGTCTCCTGAGGCGATGCGGAAAGGGATTCCTACTGCGCCGGTGTTTGGCGGCAGTGCCTGCTGCGCCTTTGTAGGTCGGACGCGCGCCCTCAAGGCAGCCCAGGAGCTGCTGTTGCTGCTGCATCTGAAGTTTATAAAGTCTTTCTCCGCCGCCCCCCCCCCAAGCCGCCTTTTCCCCGCCTTGTTTGAACTCATTGTCTAAGGCTCGGGCTGCTCTTAGCCCCTCGCAGGGGAGGGGGCACTCGCTGTCAACGAGGGTTGAAGATTTGCTCCACAAACTCAATGTGCAAACTCTTAATCTGTGGGGTGGACTGCTTTGAAGTGCAACCGCGACCGCCACAACCGTTTCAGGACGCCAAGGCCCGGTTCACACAAGCACATTCATGCACTTCGGGCTGGGTTAATTTTTTTCCACCGCACGAATCCGTGGGATCTTCAGTGTGCAAGGAAAAAGCTGCTCAGCATCCTGAAAACCCAGCTCTTCGGAAACGCAGTTTTGTTTTACACTTCTGCCTTCAATAATGCTGAGATTAGGGGCGCCAGACTCCAATGTAGTTCTACGCCCACAAAAAAAACCCCTCTGACTACAAAGCATAAACAGTTTTATGCCAAGAGGGAAGGCTATTGGGGCCACCACCATCAGACCAGGAGCCTCAGTAAAGCTGAGACTCACCTTTCTCAAGCCACTTCCTGGAGACAAATGGCAATGTATAACCACAACCATCTGGCTCAAACCTGTGCAATTCAAGAGAGAAATTGATTTGGAAAATGTATGCATGGACTTTCTACCATGTCGGTATTAATAGAGGTAGCTCATAATGCTGTATTTGCCGGTGTATAAGAAGACTGGACGTATAAGATGACCCCCCCCCCAACATTTCCACTCAAAATATAGAGTTCGTTATATACTCGCCGTACAAGACTACCCCCTCTTCCGCACACCTTCCACACACCAAATAAAAGGTGCTATTCATTGTCACGATTGTATGGCTGCAGCGTGACCGCAGTGCCTCTGGCCCGCCCCTGCATCTCCCTGTGACCGGCACTAGTGTGCAAGTGCCCATGTGTGAGCTCTGCGTAGATAAGAGGCGGGCTGGAGCGCTGCTGCTTCACGCCAAGCAGAACGGGCCAGTCACGTCAAAAAGGCTGGCACCCCTGTCTCATTGCTGATGCTCGCCACGGCCGCACTGAATACCGCGCGATACTGGACGGTGTGTAGAATGAGGTGGGCAGGCATTGGAAGGCTACTATGGGCACCGGGTGAGCATCGGAAGGCCACTATGGGCATCTATGTCTATCCCAACTGAAGTGCACCCGATGTATAAGATGACCACCCCCCCACTTGGCGGCATGTTTTTCTGGGCAAAAAGTAGTCTTATACGCCAGCAAATATAGTAATTTCAAAAAGTTATTGTTACATACAGCTATGACATCACCTGCCCGTCACTGCTGAAGCTGTGTGTCTTCTGCCAATGGCGTGACGGAGGGGGGGACATAAGGGGTGGAGCTGTTGTATATAAGGGGAGGGAATGGTGTGGGTGATTCAGATAGGGCCAGATAGAGCTTTGAGATAGGGACGGTTAGGGCTGTGATAGGCAGATAGGGATTGGAGATACTGTGAGATAAGAACTGTGCTATATAGTGAGGGTCTGTCAGAGTGTGTGTGTGATTGTTATGTTATTATAGTGATTGAAGTATTATTCATATTCAAGTGATTTACCATTCCTTTTGTTTGTATACAATAAACCTAAGTTTTTATTTTGAAATCATCCTTTGGCCTGAAGCTTTATTTGAGGGAATGGTTGGTGGTAGTGGAAATGAAGAGTGTTCGAGTGTGACGTAAAGGCCCCTTTGTGAGGTATAAGGTGGCTGTTACAGTTATCTAATCAAGAGGAGGGAAAGCTCCAAAACAAGAACAGAGAGCTTCAAGAGTCACAGTACACTTCTTCACATAAGCAAAAGATAGAATGAGACTGAGGGCCTCTGATGCCAGCATTAAGCATGAATCTCCACATGCAGGAAAGGTTATAGGATTGCACCTCAGACTTGCTGCTGAAGAATACCAACTGCATAGACAGCCAAGGCATGTGGAGTTCTAAGGTCTAAAATTTCTATTGCTGTGGCTTACATCCAATGTAGATGTCAACAGGCTGCACTTCTGAGGTGAGGCCAAGGGGGAAAAATATTTTAACCACAATTGCTGTGACACCACAAAACCACCAAAACTAAGGCTCACATTAGACACAATGTGCCACAAAACCAATTCCAACTAAAGGCAACCCTTTCTGCCTTTATATTTTTGGTGGGCATAAAGTACTTAGAAACAGTTTATCAGTCTCTCCTTCTGGTGGCACTCTGGAACCCAAGATTCACTTTTCTCATTAAGAGAATCAGTGGGTAACCTCACTGCTGTTTTTCAAACATGTGTTTAGCCCACTGAGCTATCCATCAGCTACTACACATCACAGACCAACAAACACATACCTAGTACTGTGCATATATCATCAGTGGCAAGGGGCAAGTACATCCCACAGTGGATGACGCCATTCCTCACTCTTGGGACCACAGACTATCTGCAAGTATGATGTGCACAAGGTAAAGTGCTTGTACAAGTCAAGTGTACAAAGCCGAAAGGACGCTGAGCTGCCTGGAAGTGAAAGGAAAGTCAGATGCTGCAAAGAAAAATACTGCATAGGAACCTGGAATGTAAGATCTATGGACCTTGGTAAGCTGGATGTGGTCAAACAGGAGATGGCAAGAATAAACATTGACATCCTGGGTATCAGTGAACTAAAATGGACGGGAATGGGAAAATTCAATTGAGACAATTATCATATCTACTATTGTGGGCAAGAAACACAGAGAAGAAATGGAGTAGCCCTCGTTAACAACAAAGGAATGGGAAAAGCTGTACTGGGATACAATCTCAAAATGATAGAATGATTTCAATAAGAATCCAAGACAGACCTTTCAACATCACAGTAATCCAAGTTTATGCACCAACCACCGATGCTGAAGAGGCTAATATTGACCAATTTTATGAAGACTTACAACACCTTCTAGAACTGACACCAAAGAAAGATGTTCTTCTCATTATAGGGGACTGAAACGCTAAAGTAGGGAGGCAAGAGATAAAAGGAAAAACAGGGAAGTTTGGCCTTGGAGTTCAAAACGAAGCAGGGCAAAGGCTAATAGAGTTTTATCAAGAGAACAAGCTGGTCATCACAAACACTCTTTTCCA